CTTCGTTCTTGGTACGTACGCGTAACCCTCGTTGCGGTGATCGACTTTAACTCTTGGTTCGATGAATTCCGACCAACAAAATTCCTTGGATCGAAGGAAGAAAGCTTGAAAATTTTATTTTCTCTCCTCTCTCTCTTCAATGTTTGAACTTAGCTGAACAAGGGGTGATAATATCTGATTTTTCAGATATTTAGCCATATTTATACTTTTTAATTGTGCGGTCCACATTGCTCCACACTTTTGTTACTTTCGGGTTTGTTTTTCGTCCCAAAACGATTTATTTCATTCCGGTTTAAGTTTAAATTATTTTTATTTGAAATTTTATTCAATTATAAGAAAATTTTATAATTTTCATTTTTTGGAGACGTTCACGAGGTCATTCGTCATTCAATTGTCTCGTAAAAATGTGTAAAATCTGACTATCTCAGAATTCGATGAAAATTGATATGATAGCTCGATTTTATGATACAAATTTAACGGTGAGGTCCGTTGCATCATCTGAGCTCTAAAAAAATACTGATGTTAAACCTGCATTATAGTGACAAATTACCATTTTACCCTTTTTCCGAAGGTGGTGGTGGCGACAGTGGTGGTGGTGGTAGAGGTAGTGGTGGGACGGTTTTTAACACTATTTTTTTAAAAAAATATTTATAAAAAATAAATTTTAAAAGTACTTTTAAAGAGTCACTCCAAACATACCCTTAGATGCCTATTTTTTCTATTAAATTTAAGATTAAGGTGTTAACATTAGCCGTTAAATTAACTCTAAAGTAAATTTTAAAACGATCTCAGCCACGAATAGCAAAAGTTATTTTGTTTATCTTTTGAGATTTGAATTGTAAGTTACTTTAATATATAGACTAGTTATTGCTTGTGCCTGAAGGTACCGAGTAATAAAAAATAATAAACAATAAACATATTTGTACTCATATCCAAAATCAAATCACAAACATAAAAATAGAGATAAATGAATTTAAACATTAGTTGTAGTGGGGGTGAGAGGTGGTGGGTGACAGTGGTGGTGGTAGGAGAAGGTGATGGTTGTGGTGGATGACAATGACCGTGGTGGCGGTGGTGATGACGACGGTGATAGTGGTGGTGGCGACGACGGTGGCGGTGATGGGGTGGGTGGTGGTGGTGGCAGTGGCGGCGGTGGCGACGACGGCGGCAGGGGTAGTAGAGGTAGTGGTGAGACAGTTTCAAACACTATTTTTTTTTAAAGTACTTATAAGAAATAATTCATAGAAATACTTTTAAAAAATCACTTCAAACACACCACCCTTAGGGACCAATTTTTTCTATTAAATTTAAAATGTTAATATTAGCCGTTAGATTAACTTTAAAATAAAATTTAAAGCGATCTGAACAACGAAAAATAAAATTCATTTTGTTTATCTTTTAAAATTTGAATTATAAGTTACTTTATTATATAGACTAGTTATTGTCTGTGCTTGAAAGTACAGAGTAATAAAAAATGATAAACAATAAATATATTTGTATTAATATCCAAAATCAAATCACAAATATAGAGAAGAGATAAATGAATTTAAGCATCAGTTTGTAGTGGGGGTGAGAAGTGGTGGGCGATAATGGTGGTCGTGGCGGTGGTGATGAGGGTGAAGGCGGTGGTGGTGGTGGCGGAGGCGACAACGATGGTAGTGGTGGTGGTGGTGGAATGGTTTCAAACACTATTTTTTTTAAAGTATTTATGAGAAATAATTTGTAGAAGTACTTTTAAAAAGTCACTCCAAACACACCCTTAGGGCCCTATTTTTCTTATTAAATTTAGGGTGTTCATATTATCCATTAGATTAACTTTAAAGTAAAATTTAAAACAATCTCAACCACGAATAGAAAAAAGTCGTTTTGTTTATCTTTTGAGATTTGAATTGTAAGCTATTTTATTATATAGATTAGTTATTACTTGTGTTTGAAGAGACAGAGTAATAAAAAATAGTAAACAATAAATATATTTGTATTCATATCTAAAATTAAATCACAAACAAAGGGAAGGGATAAAATAATTTAAGCATCGGTTTGTAGTGGGGGTGAGAGGTGGTGGGCGGCAGTGGTAGTGGTAGGAGACGATAATGGTTGTGGTGGGTGGCAATGACCGTGGTGGCGATAGTAGTGGTAGTGGCGGTGACGGTGGTGGCAATGATTGTGGCAGCGGTGGTGATGGTAGTGGTGGCTGTGGTGGTGATGGTGGGGGCAGTGGTGGTGGTGACGGTGGTTGCGACAATGGTGGTCGTGACGGTGGTTATGACAATGGTGGTGGTGGTGGCGGCGATGGTCGTGAAGGTGGTGGTGGAGACGATGATGGTGGCGGCGGTGGTGGTGAGGGCGACGATGGTGGTGGTGGCGACGACGACAACAACGACGACGTTGGTGACAGTGGCTGCGACGACGGAGGGGGTGGTGGTGGTGGTAGAGGTAATAGTGGGGCGGTTTCAAACACTATTTTTTTTTTAAAAGTATTTATGAGAAACAATTTCTAAAAGTACTTTTAAAAAGTCATTTCAAACACACTCTTAGGGGCCTATTTTTCCTATTAAATTTAGGGTTAGAGTGTTAATATTAGCCGTTAGATTAACTTTAAAGTAAAATTTAAAACGATTTCAGCCATAAATAGCAAATGTCATTTTGTTTATTTTTTGATATTTGAATTGTAAGCTATTTTATTATATAGACTAGTTATTGCATATGCCTGAAGGCACAAAGTAATAAAAAATTATAAATAATAACAAATTTGTATTCATATTAAAAATCAAATCACAAACATAAAAAAGAGATAAATGAATTTAAGCATTAGTTTGTAGTGGGGGTGAGAGGTGGTAAGTGACAGTGGTGGTGGTGGTAAAAGACGGTGATGATTGTAATGAGTGGCAATGATCGTGGTGGTGGTGGCGGCAGCGATGGTGGTGGTAGTGGTGGCGGCGGAGGTGGTGGCGGTGGTGGTGTTGGCGGCAGTGCTAGGGGTGGTAGTGGCGGCGACGACGGTAAGGGTGGTGGCGGTGGCGGTGCGGTGGTGGTGGCGACAATGGTGGTGGTAGAGATAGTGGTGAGGCAGTTTTAAACATTAATTTTTTTTTTAAATATTTATAAAAAATAATTTTTAGAAATATTTTTAAAAAGTCACTCCAAACACACATTTATGAGCATATTTTTCTTATTAAATTTAGAGTGTTAATATTAGCCGTTAGATTAACTTTAAAGTAAAATTTAAAACGATCTCAACCGCGAATAATATAAATCATTTTATTTATCTTTTAAAATTTGAATTGTAAGTTACTTTACTATATAGATGTTACTTATCAAACATAAATTGAATTGAATTTATGATTAAATTCCATATAAAAATGTCTTAGGTTGAGTTTGAAGGATTTTACTAAAATCAATCTAATCCCTCCCATGTGAATCATGCAAAGATGCTCTTGTTGTCTTGTAAACTCATTTACTGTATAGATTTACTGTTAATATCATCAAATTTATTTGTTTATTTATTTATTTTTTATTATCTTCATAAACGGCTTCAGGAATCAGCAGTGCCAATGGCGCGAGAGAGAACCGACTGCCAAATGCTAAAACTTTACAGCCAACAGGGTATTAGGTGATGATGCTTCGATGGTCACATTGTCTGCATGGGACGACTCCATTGGACCCCACCAATACGATTCAAACAAAAACCTTTATATTTCCACTTAATTACAGATAGCTTAATTAGTGGCCCCTACCAGCTATCGTTGTTTAAATTTAAATTATTATATTTATCATTAATTTAATTAAGAGCCTCAATATTTATTGAATTCTATTATCTATACAATGATAATAATTTATTAAATCAAGTTTTAAAATTAATTTATTGAGTTTTTTTAACATTTTTCTAAAGTGAATATTTTTATAATTATTTGGGTTAATTGTCCAAAATTATTTCATTGTTTTAAAATTTTGTTTAAGCAATTCCATTGGTGACGTTCTTGAATAATGCAAGATATGGGTTTCGGCAAGGATACATAGAATTTAATATTGAAGCTCTAAAAAATTTATTTAGAAAATATTATTTAAATTTAATTTGAAAACTTAATAATTTTTGGATTAAAAATTTTTTTTTATCAAACTTCNAAAATATTATTTAAATTTAATTTGAAAACTTAATAATTTTTGGATTAAAATTTTTTTTTTATCAAACTTCAAAACTCATAAATAATCTAACAATAATGTTATTGAGAAATAATTTAATAGTTACGATAAATTAAGCCATTGATTAAGTCTCCAATTTAAACGTCTAGAACATTGGTCTATTTATTTTACAATGTCTCCAATGTCAAGGTTAGTAAATATATATTTATAATTTTTGAGAGAAATAACCTAATACTTGGAACAAAAATATATTATACATGATAACATCTTATTTTTCTAACTTAACTTGTCTCTTAAAAGTGAAAAACAAAAATGCACAATGCAATATGACGCATTCTTCCTCTCGAATCTCTTTTGTATGCAACACACGTTAATTCGTAAAGCCACACAATAATGAAAGGAGAAAAACCATAATAGTTTACAATGATTGCTCATAACCGGAAAAAAAAAAAAAAAACTTGGGCAATTTCTCATAAAATAATTATTTTATGTATTATAAAAATTTGTTAATCAAAGTTGTATTTTTCCTCTCTTTTTAATATCGATTGTATTAAAAATATGTAATTCCCTTTTATTAATAAAAACTCATGTATGGAACCTCATATAAATAGTATATTCTCCATTGAGTTTCAATTGAATTGAGAGTACACCCAAAAAAAAACAAGACTTATGAATCCCATCCAGGTAATTAGAACAATGCTAAAGTGAATTGAATAGGGGAAAAACACACTTCTCAAAAAAAAAAAAAAGACAGTACTTTTTGGATGCAAATAGATATCCCATGAATTAAGCACAGCAAATCAAACACTTTAACGTTGTTTTAGAAAACTTTCTCAATATACGAATGAGAATATAGTCACACTTTCCTCACCCATCTCGGTGCTTCTGCTCACTGAACTCTCACTCTCTTCCCCCACATCCCTCACCTCTTCTCCCCCCTTTCTCTCACCCAAAAAACACACGAAACAGAGAGAGTTGGAGAGAGAAAGTAAACCCAGAAAAAATGCGGTTCCTTCTTCTTCTTTTCCTTCTACTCCTCTTCCGTCTCCACCACAGCCTCGCCGCGAAGCCACCCCGCATGCCGGAATATCGAGCGTTGCTGTCTCTGAAAACCGCCATAATCGACGACCAGTCTTCCCTCTTCTCATGGAACATATCCACCAACCACTGCACGTGGTTGGGGGTTCATTGCGATGCCCACCGTCGCGTGACCTCCCTCGACATTTCGGGTTTCAACCTCTCCGGCACTCTCTCGTCCGACGTCGGAAACCTCCGCTTCCTCATCAACCTCTCCGTTGCTGCCAACCAGTTTTCCGGCCCCATCCCACCGTCGATCTCTCTAATCTCCAACCTACGTTACCTCAACCTTTCAAATAACATCTTCAGCGAGATCTTTCCTCCAGAACTATCTCGCCTACGAAACCTCCAAGTCCTTGACCTATACAACAACAACCTGACCGGTGAACTCCCCGTCGACGTCTCAAAAATGGAAAACCTCCGGCACCTCCATCTCGGCGGAAACTTCTTCACCGGCATATTTCCGCCGGAATATGGCGCTTTTCCCGTCTTAGAGTATCTTGCTGTTTCCGGAAACGAGCTCGGCGGAGTCATTCCTCCCGAATTCGGAAATCTCTCAACTCTTCAGGAGTTATACATTGGCTACTACAACAACTATTCCGGCGGAATACCTCCAGAAATCGGAAATTTATCACGGCTTATCCGATTTGACGCCGCAAACTGTGGACTTTCCGGTGAGATTCCACCGGAGATAGCGAAGCTTCAAAACCTAGACACCCTTTTTCTACAAGTAAATGGTCTGTCCGGACCTTTAACTCCTGAGCTTGGTTACTTGAAGAACTTGAAATCTATGGATCTCTCCAATAACATGTTCTCTGATAAAATACCGAGTTCATTTGCGGATTTAAAGAACTTGACGCTTTTGAATCTGTTCCGCAACAAGCTTCACGGATCGATACCGGACTTCATCGGAGATTTGCCGGAACTACAGGTGTTGCAACTCTGGGAAAACAACTTTACCGGAAGTATTCCACAAGGTTTGGGGACAAATGGGAGGCTTAAGCTTGTGGATTTGAGTTCAAACAAGTTAACCGGATATCTTCCGCCGAACTTGTGCTCTGGGAATACGCTTGAAACTCTCATCGCTCTCGGAAACTTCTTGTTCGGTCCTATTCCGGAATCACTTGGCAAATGCAAGTCCTTGAGTCGGATTCGAATGGGTGAGAACTATCTCAATGGTTCGATTCCGAAGGGACTTTTGAGCTTGCCTCAGCTTACCCAAGTCGAGCTTCAAGACAATCTTTTATCCGGGGGGTTCCCAGAGACGGATTCAATATCGGTCAGTCTCGGACAGATTAGCCTTTCAAACAATGACCTCAGTGGGCCATTACCGCCGAGTATTGGAAACTTCTCCGGCGTCCAGAAGCTTTTGCTAGATGGGAACAAGTTTTCCGGCGGCATTCCACCGGAAATCGGTAGATTACAGCAACTATCAAAGATGGATTTCAGTCACAACAATTTTTCGGGTCCCATATCGCGCGAGATTAGCCAGTGTAAGCTTTTAACATTTGTTGATCTTAGTCGGAACCAGCTTCGGGGTGAGATTCCGACTGAGATAACCGATATGAGGATCTTGAACTACTTGAACTTGTCTCGAAATCATTTCGTTGGAAGCATTCCAGCATCAATTTCTACTATGCAAAGCTTAACCTCTGTTGATTTTTCGTATAATAATCTATCCGGATTAGTTCCAAGCACTGGGCAATTCAGTTACTTCAACTACACTTCGTTTCTTGGCAACCCTGAACTTTGCGGTCCATATTTGGGACCTTGCAAAGAGGGAATTGTCAATTCAACTCGCCAAGACCATGTTAAGGGGTTATCATCTGGTTTGAAGCTTTTACTTGTTATTGGGTTGCTTGTTTGTTCGATTGCATTTGCTGTTGCAGCAATTATTAAAGCCCGGTATTTGAAGAAGGCAAGTGATGCTCGTGCCTGGAAGCTGACGGCTTTCCAGCGCCTGGACTTCACTTGTGATGATGTTTTGGATTGCCTGAAAGAAGAAAACATTATTGGGAAAGGAGGTGCTGGTATTGTGTATAAGGGTTTAATGCCCAATGCAGAGAACGTTGCAGTGAAAAGGTTGCCGGGAATGAGCCGTGGGTCTTCGCACGACCACGGATTCAATGCAGAAATACAGACTCTGGGGAGGATTCGACACCGGCATATTGTGAGGTTATTGGGGTTCTGTTCAAATCACGAGACCAATCTTTTGGTTTATGAGTATATGCCTAATGGGAGTTTAGGTGAAATGCTTCATGGGAAGAAAGGGGGTCATTTGCATTGGGATACAAGGTATAAGATTGCTGTGGAGGCTGCAAAGGGCCTTTGTTATCTTCATCATGATTGCTCGCCTTTAATCGTCCATCGGGATGTAAAATCAAACAACATCCTTCTGGACTCCAATTTTGAAGCTCACGTTGCTGACTTTGGCCTTGCCAAGTTCTTGCAAGACTCGGGAACATCAGAGTGCATGTCTGCCATTGCTGGTTCTTATGGATACATAGCTCCAGGTATACTACTTTAATCTAGCTTGTAAATGGTATTTGACAAAATATGAATTTTGTGTTTCGGTGGATACTCGTCTCATTTGCTTCCAATGTCCTTAATATGTCAAAGAAATTGAATTTTAGAAACTGTCTTTTGACTCTTAATACTGAATTAGGTTGAAACAAGCAATCATTTCTTTTTGCTGTTTTGTTCGTATTTTGGTCTGAATTGGCCATGGGGGCTCCATTAACATACTATATGCTCAGTGATTGTCTTTGTAAGTATGTGTAGGTAAAAATCAGTCTATTTCATTGTCCTTGGCTGTCAAAGACAATTGGAAAACAACTGTATGTTAACATGGTTTTTGACTAATTATTAACTAAATGATGCATCAGTTGTGCAAAGTGAGTTTTCACATAAGAAAGTAATTCATGACTACTATGGGTACTAATTTCTGTTGGGATTTCCTTATTACTTACTGTAACTTTCAAAAGCAAAATAAATTTTTGATTTTGCTCCCAAAGGCAAAATAAATGTTGTATGTGTTGGTAAGAATAAGTCTCTTTCATTGCCATTGGAATTCAATGACAACTGAAAAACAACTGTATGATAACATGGTTTTGTCTAATTAGTCACAAAATGATAAGTCAGTTGTTCAAAGTGAGACTTCAAATAAGGAAGTAATGTATGACTAATAAGAACTACTTCTGTTGGGATTTGCTTTGTACTTAATGTAGCTTTCAAGTTCAAAATCAATGTTTGCTCCCAAAGGCAAAATAAAATGTTTCCAACTTTATTCTATTAATGCCTTAATTAATGGTTGTAACAAACTTCTTATCCTAATCATCTGTTAGCATTTCTCCCAGATAGGAAACAAAAATAGTTTCCCAGAACATGAGCCCTTATTCAAGTCACTGTTGAGTTTTGATGATGCCTTGTAGCTAAGATTGTATATTGAAATCAAATACTTGTTCTCTGCAGAATATGCCTACACACTCAAGGTTGATGAGAAGAGCGACGTTTATAGCTTTGGCGTGGTTCTCTTAGAACTGGTCACTGGCAGAAAACCCGTTGGTGAGTTCGGTGATGGTGTTGATATTGTGCAGTGGGTGAGAAAGATGACAGACGGGAACAAGGAAGGCGTGCTAAAGGTCATTGACCCAAGACTCCCAACGGTTCCCTTCAATGAGGTGATGCACGTTTTTTATGTGGCAATGCTCTGCGTCGAAGAACAGGCTGTGGAACGCCCAACAATGCGTGAGGTTGTGCAAATCCTGACCGAGCTTCCAAAGACACCCAGCTCGAAACAGGGAGACCTAACTGTCACGGAGTCCCCTCCACAACCAGCCTCTGCTTCAGAGTCTACCACCACAGCTGCTACGGAAACAAAAGAACATCAGCAGTTACCACCTCAATCACCACCACCTGATCTTCTTAGCATTTGAGTTGTTCTACTGGATTGGGGAGTGTTTGTTTTAAATTTCCCTGAGTTGGGTTAACTTTGTTCTCATGTTTTTTTTTAGTTTATCTTTTCTGGTTTGATTGGGGGCAAGGGGCAAGGGGCAGGCGGCCTTACTCTGACTTTAAGGTGGTGTCAATGTTTGAAGGTTTTTTTTTTTTGTGTACAGTAGGATTGGTGGGTTTTTGCTCTATATAAATTATCTTTCATCAATTTTATGTTTTTATTTAGCTGCTGTTACGTCATTTGACCTAGATGAAATAGAAAATTAGAGCTGAGTAAATATTAGATGCATCAGTTACACCATACCAGCTGTTGGTGTAACCGTTCAATGTTAAATAAAGAAATGCACTAGATATTTTTTTTTTTTTTTTTTTTTGTGGGTAAATTACAGTCACACTCTTTTATTACACGGACACCTCCTCACATTTAAAAAATTGCACTGAGACTCCAATAGTTAGAAGGAGTTACCTGTCTTGAAGAAAAGACTATTTTACCCCTCCTTTTATCACAAACTCAAAGTCAAACCTAAACCCCAAATTCAATACCTATCGTCTTCACCACCTTGACTCTCTCTCAAATACCCTCAAGGCGAAGAATTGGGTCGAAATCACCGGTCTTCTCGCTTTCTCTTTCTCTCTCTCTCTCTCTATATATATATATAAAACAGATCTAAGATCATATCCCAGATCTAATTCCTTGCTTGAGCAATGATCGAGGACTTGGAATTATGTCAGGGAATACGAGTGTAATTTATCCTTTTCTTTTTTACATGAGTGGTTCTGGAAACATGAAATGATGTGTAAAACAGTGTCGTTTTAAAAAATAGCACTTATGTTGTAGAATTAGGCCTGTCAAAATCAAACATAACACGATTAACCGACATGATTAACCGCTGATTAAATGGGTTTTGGTGAAACCTTAACGGGTTCGCGGGTTAAACGGGTCAACTCGTTTAACACGTTTAATAAACGGGTTGTGTTTAGGTGAGACATACAATCCGTTTATCCGTTTAAATAAAATTAATAAAATAATAAATTAACAATTTTTTAAAAAAATTAACCAAATTTTTTTTTTAATAACAATCATATAAAAAATATATAAAGTTATTTTTTCATAACCCTAATTTAATTTTGCAGCTTCTTGAACGGCTAATGAGGGTTTTGTTCAGTTGTTGCGCCTCCACTTCTAATCCGTTTCTAGCAGGCCCTCCATCTTTTGCTCCTCTCTTTTTTTTTTTTCTCTCTCTCTCTCCCTCTCTTTCAACGAGCTGTGAGTTATGATTTGTTAGATCTGTGAATCTTCGAGTAGATCTGTGTTAGATCTGAGTTGATTAGTTTAGTTGATCTTCGAGCAAATCTTCGAGCCAAGACTTTGAACAGATCTGTGTTAGATCTGTAAATCTTCGAGTCAAGATTTCGAGCAAGTAAATCTTCGAATTAAAATTTTTTTATTTAGTAATCTGTGTTAGATCTGAGTTGATTAGTTTTATGTAAATTCAAGTAGAACTAGTTTCAGTTTGTTGGTGAGCTATGGAACCAAAGGATATCGTCCAGATGAAGATCCATAGATTCTTGACTTTGGTTTTCCAAAAGAGCCATAAAAAAAATTGTATTTTCATTATAAGTAAATTATTTTTGAAAGCATAATTATCGGCTCCATTGTATTTTCATTATACGTGTCTTATTGCATCAGACAATGTATTTGAATCCAAATAGTTGTGAGTCTTGTGACAGCATATATTCTGTTGGATAAGATCTAGTGATTACAATGGGCTTTTTTGTGGAAGGCAAATTCGACTTGGTTTGCCAACTCTCGTGCCTGAAGTTACCCGATAAATAATTCAATCACTTACAATGTCCAAAAAGTGATTTATTTGTGTGCAAAACTTTAATTTTTCAAGTAGTTTTTGGTAGAGAAACCGCATCCAGTTGATGATCTAAGAACTCCCTGTTCATCGTTGGGTTAAGTCATGTTTCCATTTTATTGCTAGAAAGAAATAGGAGGTTTCTATGAACTCCCATATGTTTCCTTGTTAATTTGTTATTGTCTTATTGGGTGACTGACTTGTTGAGCACAGACTTTGTATCCTTGAATGAAAAGAAACTCAGTATAAGCTCTGTTTAGATGTGGATTAGGAATTGCAATGAAGGAATCTGTTTGACAAGCACTTATTGGCATTGCTTCTTTTTTGGTTTGTTGTACTTGAAATGCTATTTTATAGATTCTTGACTTTGGGTTTCTATTAGTCATGTACTGTAAACGTAAATACAAAACATTAAGTAGAGAACTACACTTTGGTGCCCAAATAACCCTATATCCACATCTAAACAGTTTATTCTTAATAATGTCATGATCTTTTCTAGAATCATATATCAATTTCTATAGATCCAATGTAATTTTGTTCTTATGATCACAATTCCAAAGTACTTAACATGATTAAATGGAATGATGAATGTGATTGTTTTTCGGAAATCAATGATCAAATTTCAATTATTTTTCAATTGTTTTCTTTGCAAATACTTTTCACTTAATCAATTTAACTATATTTTTTTGTCTTAAACAGATGAATTTTTATGAACACAATATTATAATTTTTGATGAAGAAGGTCAGACATGAATCTAATGTAGTTGCAGCTCTACCAACACAGACATCAACCGGTACAACTACAGAAAAAGGTAAATCTAATCGTAAGTGACAAAAGATTTCAATAGTATGGAAATACTTTAAACTTTTGTCTCATGCCCCCTCCTCATATTGGTATTGCCTTGTCTGAGAAAATTTATACATTTTTGACTGATTGAAAAATTGAAAGGAAATTATTTTCTTTGACTTTGGATAATGCTTCTAGTAATGATTATTTTGTTGAGTTGTTGAAGAGTCAACTTAATCTTAAAAATGCTCTCTTGAGGAATGGTGAGTTCTTCCATANTAATGATTGTTTTGTTGAGTTGTTGAAGAATCAACTTAACCTTAAAAATGCTCTTTTAAGAGATGGTGAGTTCTTCCATGCTCGATGTTGTGCACATATTCTTAATTTGATAGTCCAAGATGGACTTAAAGAAATTGATGAATCAGTGATAAAAATTCGAGAAAGCATCAAATATGTTAAAAGTTCATCGAAAAGAAAAAAAGAAGTTCATGGATTGTGTTGCTCAAGTTTCATTAGAGAGTAAAAAAGGTTTGCGAGGAGATGTTCCAACAAGGTGGAACTCAACTTATATTATGCTTGACAATGCACTTTTTTTATCGTCGTGCATTTATTCATTTACAGTTAAGTGATTCTAATTATAGACATTGTCCTTCCCAAGAAGAATGGAGCAAAGTAGAGAAGATTTCTAATTTGTTGAGGGTGTTTCGTAAAGTTACTTGTTTATTCTCTGGTACAACATATCCTACAACTAATTTGTACTTCCCCCAAGTGTTCTTAATTCAACATAATTTGAAGGAGGCATTGACAGATAATGATAGTTTTATGAGGATAATGGGAAGTCATATGTATGCCAAGTTTGACAAGTATTGATCAAAGTATAGTGTGATTCTTTCGATTGTTATATCATCTTAGATCCTCGTTACAAAATTCAGTTTGTAGATTGAACTTATTCAAAACTTTATGGTGATGATTCCTATGAGTTCAAGTGTGTTCAAGATACTTTATTTGAGCTCTTTGAATTGTACTCTGTCAACTTGTTACATGTTGTTCCAAGTACTTCAAGTAATGAGAAACAAGTTAGCGAGACGCATGGTCTTGATGATTCCGAAAGCCTTTTTCAGGTGAAATATAATTTAGTTTGCTTGAATTGAATGTGATCAAGATAGTTTATTGTATATTCGTAATTATTTTGTACAAAATGTAAGATTTTGAAAAGCGTGAAAAAAAAGATTCTCCTGTGTTCTCGAGTGACTGAGTTGCAGTTGTATTTTAATGAAAAAAGGCTTGATCGAAAGAAGGACTTAGATATTCTAACCTTTTGGAAAGGAGAGAAATTTCGGCATCCTATATTATCTCGATTGGCTTGTGATGTGATGACAATTCCTATTTCTATAGTTACATCTGAATTTGTATTTAGTATCGGTGGTAGAGTTTTGAATAAGTATCGAAGTTCACTTTTGCCAGAAACTGTCTAGGCTTTGATTTGTACTAGAGATTGGATTCATGGGAAGAGCAGTAAGTTTGATTCTTTTTTCTCAATATTCATGGGATACTAATATTATTTTTCTCATTGTACTAATGCATGTGATCATTGATTCATTTATATTTTGCTTTGCTTAGTTGTAGATGATTCTAGTGATGATTCAAAAGGGGAAATAGATGATGTTTTCAATCAAAATATGAAGTCTAATAAAGCTATATCCGCTCAATGTTCTAATTCTATATCTATCATAAATCATGACTAAAGAGAGGTAATGCCAAATTTTTGGTACTTATCTAGTTATGAGTCTATTTAATTATTAATATTTTATAATATTTCATTTTAATTTGTGTAGGGCATGAGAGTTTGGTTGTTAACNAAAGAGAGGTAATGCCAAATTTTTGGTACTTATCTAGTTATGAGTTTATTTAATTATTAATATTTTATAATATTTCATTTTAATTTGTGTAGGGCATGAGAGTTTGTAAATCATGAAATTTGTGTTTGTTTGAAATTGTGGTTTGTAGTATGATTGTTATTTCAGATTGTATTTATGATTTGTAATATGTTATTATTTCGGATTGTATTTATGATTTGTAATATGGTTGTTGATGAAATTTGGATATTTTGGATTGTAGTTTGTACTTTATAATATGGTGTCGTATGATATCTCTAAATATCACATTTATTTGTGCTAGCTTGTTAGTTTTATAAAGTTATATAACATTTTTAAATAAACAGGTAAATGGTTAAATATGTGGTTTACCGTGTTAAATGGGTGATAAACAGGTAAATCGGTTAAACGAGTGATAAATAGGTAAATGGGTCAAACGAGTGGTTTATCGTGTTAACCCGACCCAATCCAACACAACCCGACTCGTTTAAAATTAGACGTGTTAAACGAGTCGTGTCGTGTTCCCTGTTTATTAAACGGTTCGTATTCGTGTTTCGATTTTTTACCCATTTATTAAACGTGTACGGGTTTACATGTTTTTCACCCGTCACCCGTTTAACCCGACATGTTTAACACCC